AGGCACTGCCATCTCTCATGTCAGTGCCATAGCCTGAAAGATGTTAAACACACCCACATTTTTCAGGAATTTCACAATTAGTGTCTGGAATGTGTTTTGGATTATTCTTCAAAGGATGACATAGTTGCCCTAAGATGAATTCAATATTTTTCCCTTCTCCCATTTGTCATTCTTCAGTCCTCCCACTCCATTATCTTTTTTTAAAATATGTCTTTATTGATTTTTTTAGAGATAGAAAGAAACACTGATGTGAGAAATAACGATTGGCTGCCTCCTGCACGCCCCCTACTGGGGATGGAGCCTGCAACCCTGGCATGTGCTCTGACCAGGAATTGAACAGGGACCTCTCGGTCCAAGGGATGGCACTCAATCCACTGAGACATTATCTTTTTATGATCATTGGTTTTATCTATTTCCCCCAACTTCATAATGTCTGTCCCCTTGTGTCCCCAAGCTATCCCCTTGTCATCTAGATCACCACATGTTAATCAAGCCCCACAAAACACAGATACGTGCACCAAGTCATTAAATACCTTTTCCACCTGGATATAATGCCCATAGCTAAGCATGGTTCAGCATAATTTTCTTCATAAATTAACCTATCTGTTTGCAACTGCACTGCCATCATACTGCTTGCTGACTGTTCTGGTCACTGCTAAATATGTATTAATGGCTGCAAATGTCTCTAGACTTGCTATTTTTGCTTTTCGGGTACTATGCAATTCCTTTGCCAAGTGTTTTATGTGACCAGACTCCTCAATAACAGTGAGGATTCTGCAAGCTTGATAGTCAAAGTGAAGGTCAGAAAGTCCTGTCATTTGTATATGTGCAGTGAATAGTCTCTCCATGTTTTGTCAATATTTACTTTTGGGAGGAACTAATTATTTCCTTGTTTACTTGCATTGGTTTCTCTTCCCATACACGATGAATGTACTTTTATAAGCCCTCTGCTTGCTTCTCTCTCTCCAACATGGAAAAGCTCACTCTACCTAAATATTCTAAGATAGAAAATGACACACATAATGGCAATAGTATCAGAAAACCATTCTGTTCTGTGCTGTAATACTCGGAACATATCCTTGATTCTTCTACTCATTGCCCTATGAAAAGTGGCTAGAAGGAAAGTTTAAAATATCTGGGGAAATAAAAGGAGGATTGTGTTTTGAAAGAGGCAGTTTTTAGATGGCAGTGGCAAAAACAGGAAAGTACCACAAAGAGGAAGCCACTGAAGAAATAATCACTGGGAAGAAAGTTGTTGCTCATCTGCAATACCGATCACCTGGCACAACAAAGTTCTCGGAGCCACTCAATAGTATCCACCAGGTTCTAAGTCACTGTCCTCACAAACTGTCAAACTCAAGCCATCACCTGCCCTTTATTACTTACGAGAAGACTGATCATACTCCCTTGCACCTCCCCCTACCCCTAACCGAAGCATTAGTACTATTCCACATTAGGAGAAAAAAGTGGTTCTTACCCCCTTTTATCTCAAAATATAATCCTCACTGCCCTGGCCTGTTTGGCTCAGCGTTGGCCCACGGACCAAGGAGTCCAGTGTTCGATTCTTCCCAGTTGCAGTTCATCCCTGGCCCTAGTCAGGGTCGAGCTGGAGGCAGCCAATCAATGTGTCTCTCTCCCATCAATTTCTCTCTCTCTCTCTCCCCCCCTTCCACTCTATCTGAAGATATTGGAAAAAATATCCTCAGGTTAGGATTAAAAAAAATTATATATATATACATATATACACACACATATATATGTATATATAATCGTCACTATGCAATGAGAACATTCTTCCTAGAAAATCCCACTTCAGTCGTTTTTCAACACTGTCTTTGATCTCTGAAAGAGGTCTCCCATCCAGTCTTCTTTCTCCAGAGTTCAGAATCCAAACTTGTTTCTCTGGCTTCTAGGCGATTTACCTGGAGGCAGGTACCTAGCCAAGAAACGGACCACAGGTAGACTCACCAAATGACTGGAAATGGAAAAGAAACCTGAGTCTTCCCAAAGGCCAGCACACACTTTTTAGACTGAGGGAAAGCAGAGAAAACCTTAGTTATCCGGCTCTAGGCTCAACTTTTAAGATGCACTTAGCCTAAAACTTTTTTAAAAATACAGAATTAAATCAGGATTTACTTAATAACAATCTAAATAGTGTCGAAAAGGAGTACAAGTGTATGTGTCATGTGATTCACAGGACCCAACTCTTCACATTATTTAACCTTTCAGAAAATACTTTTCCTTTGGTATTACTGTGGTGGTAACTATTCATCCATTTATCCAATGCACGTTTATTGAGAGCCTACTACGGGCCAGTATGCCTTAAAAACCTAAGGCCACAAGGTTGGAAAGGGTCTATTTCTGCACTGATTTATCTATCTCACTTTGTAAACTGCAGTTAAAAACATGATCCCCCCCCCAATTCCTAAAGCCAGTATGAGAAGTAGCACATATAAAAATTACTGCAAGTTGGCAAACAGAGAAATGCTAATTTGTATTTAAATCATGTCATCCAAAGCAGGTAGGTTAGCGATGATAATATGTCTATACCATGCAATGTTTCCTCAGTGGAGCCAATTAAATATGAAGTTTTTCAAAAGAGTTTTCATTAACAGATACAACCAGTAGGGGTCATTTTAGTGCAAAAATTGCAGCCAAAGAGACTTTGACTTGAATAAAATATATCAATTCCTATTCATATTAGTTATGATAATCATGTACAGTGCATGACTCTCTGAATAAAAATGTAAACTGAGGGAAATACTGGCCCCTGAGACATTCCTTGCAAAGTAACAGAAAAATAAAACAGAAAGTCAGCACCTAAATAATTACTGACATGTACAGACTCCTCATTCTTACGAAGAAGGAAGGATACTCAAGCTAGGTTTTCCATCAATCTTGTATCAAAGAATTCTTAATAAATAAATAAATAAAATGCCCTGGACTCACAGTTTTGGTAGCTAAATGAAAAGTGTCACTAAAGAACATGAATTCTGATATAATCATGGCAACAAATATTTCCAGGCATTTTCAAGGCTAATACCAAGTGCATGAGGTGTTACCAGAAGAAAGGAAGCCACGAGGGATCGCATCATTTCAGAGGAATGAAAGGCTCACCAACAAACTGCCAAAATAACTATATACTGTGACACGGGGCTATTGTTGCCAAAACACTTGATTACTGTGACTGTTCACTGGGCTCCACATTTCCCTCACCAGAATATATCACGAGAAAACAACACATGGGTCAGAATCTTTAGAACCTCCCAAAGTCCTCCTCAGAGCACAGCAGTTTCCACTGCATTTAACCCTGTTCCACACTGCTCGTTCTTTTTAGATTTATGGGAGGCTGGCTTAAGTAAATGGTACACTACAAATGGCAGGGTTCAAAGATGCATCTTCTAGGCTAAGTCATACAGAATTACCTAAGTCAAACACATGAAATTGAAACAGAAGTTAATGTCCTGGCAGTTTTTTCCTGATGTGAGACAAAAAGCCAAAATGGGACTTAATACCAGGTGAGAGGCATTTGTATTTCAAGCAAATGAACTCTTCTAATCCAGTGTCCTAAGGGCGCAGTAAACGCCTCTTCTCTCTGAGAAGTGTTCCCTCCACTCAGTGTGCACTAGCTTTCAAACCAGAGAGGCCTCCCGGATTTTCCTGTCCAAAATCTAAAATCTGCAAGTATAAATAAATACGCATATGTGTGTATTTAAAGAAAATCCCAGAATTGAAGCCTTTTAATAGACCCATCAAATTCCTAAGGTTGCTACCCTCCTTCCAGTACTCCAGCACAATAAACACATACATACTTAAGGATGCTTCAGATTTAACCCTTCTTCCTTCCCTGTTTTCCTAGGCGCTGGCTGTGAGTAGCAAGGAAGAGACAGGACAGAGGGGCCTGTCCCTCCCCCTCCAGGCTCCTCCAGAGGTAAGGCTGCTGCTTCGCTCAGCCACTAGGATGCCCCGGAACAGCATCATCACCCCGTCAGCCCGAGCAGCGATCCCACTTTCAACTGGTGCTCACGAGTCCTGCCCATTAGCCAAATAAGAACTCACAGCCTCTGTCTACACCCCAAACCAGACCAGGCACCCCGAGGCTGGGGCAGGTGGGCCGGGTTTAAGGCCAGCCCCCTCCTACAGTGGTTCTCCCAGGGAGGGGAGGCTACACTAATCTAATCTCTTTCTCCTTCCATCAGCCTCAACACGCGGTGCACAATGCTTACTGGGGGAACCAGCAGGCCGGCAGAACAATCCTCGCTGTCAAACAAAAAGAAGGAAAACAGCAACGCGACTGGAAATACGCAGATACCTGATCTCAAAAAGCAACCAGTAATAGAAACAACTTTTCACTCCCAGGTGCCAGCCCCCTTCCCCCTTCGTTCAGAAGAGAACGCCTTTGACCGTTTTTCAATAGGCAAATAAATGAGTAACCACCGTATGCAACTTCCCCTGGGCTGACATATGCCGGAGCTGAAATTGATTTATATGCGAAGGAGGAGGAAGGGGGTGAAGGAAGAGCTCAAGGAAAAAATAATAAAAGAGTCACAGGGAGTGAGATGGAGACACGTCTCCTCCGCCAACAGATTTCACGGTCGGTGTGCCGCACTCGGTTCCACACTGCGCTAGTGTGGGGAGGGCGGCAGTGGTCGGATTCCCCCGAGGGGCTCGCGACAGCCTCCGCAGTGCCCCCTGCTCGCGGCGCCCCCACGTCGGGGCGCAGGGCCGGGCCACCACACCCAGCCCAAGCCCGAATGGCCACACGTGTGCAATCCCCCACTCGCCTGCCTCCACCCACGAAATCCAACCTCGCCCGCGGCGGGCCAAGCGCGGGGGGAGGCAGTGAGCGGGAACGCAGGGACGCGGGGGCTCCCTCCCGGGGGCGGGAGCTGCCCTTCTCCCGCGGAGTCCTCTCTCCTCGGGAAAGTCTGGGCAAACTTTGTTCAGCGCGGGGGGACCGCGCGGCCAGGTGGGAGGAGGACCGCGGCGCACCGCCCTACCTTCGCAAACGCCCACTTCGTACTCGGTGATGGAGTCGCCATTGAGCGGGGGGCGGATGACACAGCGCAGCCCCCGGTCGCAGGCTCCGTGGAGCCCGTAGGCGCCGCCGCAGCTCTCGTTTCTCTGGCGGGCGCACATGTAGCAGCAGCCGCAGACCCCCTGCACGATGCTCCCTGGGCAGTTTCTGGGCTCTTCGCACTTGGACTCGTCGCAGGGCAGGCAGACCAGCGCTCGGGTGCCGGAGCGCGCCAGCAGCAGCAGCAGCCCCAGCAGCGAGACCAGGAGGTGCCCGCAGCCGGCCAGCCCCCTGCCCCCCGCCACCAAGTACATCCTCCTGCGCCGCCGCCGCCTACTCCTCGCAGCCGGGCCGGGAGCCGGGCGGGCGCCCTCCCCTGTGTGGGGCACACGCGCCGCCGCCGCAGCACCCTCGGCCCGCGGTCCTCGCCGCCCCCCTAGGGGCCCCCGGGGCGCGCCTCCCCTCGCGGGGCGAGGCCCCCGCCCCCTGTGCGGGCCGCGCCGACCCCGAGCCCACTAGCGTTGGCGCCAGCGGTGGCTTCCCCTCCTCCTCCTCCTCCCGGGAGGGAGGGGAAAAAAGAAAAAAAGTTTCCTCCCGGCAGCTCCGGTTCAACCCAAACTTCTGGCGGCGGCGACGGCTGCGCTCAGCTCCAGTCCGGGCTGGCGGCACCTCCTCCTTCTCCTCCTCCGCGTCGGCCGGCCCCGCGGCGCTAGCGGCTGCGGCGGCGGCGCAGCCTCCGGGCGGGTCCCCGCCTCCCGAGCCGCCGAGTGGGTGCGGTGGAGCAGCAGAAGGTTCCCAGTGTTCGCACAACGCGCCCCGCTCGACTCACTCCTGCGCGGCTTCTCGGGCGCTTGTTTATGGCTGGAGCCTCTGCCGCTGGGGCTGCGCCCTCCCCCATCCTACCTCATCCCCAGGCCTCGCCCCCCCCCCCCCGCGCTGCGCGCCGCTCATTGGCTGCCCCCGCCACCCTCCCGGCCCGGCCGGCCCCCTCCCCCTTCTCCCGCCTCCCTCCGGGGCCGCCGGGCCCTTCCTCCCTGGCACGCCTCCTTCTCCTCCCCCTCCGCCTCCCTGCCGGAGCACCCAGCCGGCCCAGGGGCCGAGCCTTTGCGCGCCTGTTTCCGCGGGCGCGCTGCGGCTCGGGGCTTGGGGCGCTCCCGACGAGCAGCGAGAGTCGCGGCGTCCCGAGCGCCCGCCGGCACCGGGGCCTGCCTGGGAGCTCCCAGGGCAAGACCTCCGGAGCCAGTTTTGAGTTCGGAGAGCGACGGGGTCCCCAGAAGCTCGGGGCCGAGGGGATTGTTGCAGCCTGGGCTGGGGCACCCTGCGGATCGAACCCTGGGAAAGGGAAGTAAATGCATGGAGCCTTCGCAGACTGGTTGAGAATCCATCTTCCACTTGAACTGGGAATAGACTTTGTAAAAGATATTATGTAATGGAGTCTCGGGAAGCTCGAGGCGCCTCCAGCGAAGCTGCTGGTGAATTAATTAAGTGCTTTAAAAGGTCTTGGTAAATATACCGCGAAGGGGTGGGTAGGACTGTTGGGGGCTCCTGTAGCTTGGGTTGAATTTTAACTGTCCACGTTCTGTATGTTTTGTCGCTTTGCTCTGTGTCGAGGTGCTATATTATGGGAGGGGGTGAATGGAAAGTAACAGCTGAATTTTTCTCCCTTGAGTAAGGCCGAATACTGGATTATCACAAGTCTTGACATGACTAGACCCGTATGTCTCATGCATCGTTCCTGTCATCTGACAGTGCCCTTTTCTCCCCCCAACCTCATGGACAAAAGTGGTGGTTTTAATTTTTTCATTTATTGTGAACATGTTAATAAAGAAGACATGGCCCCAGACGGGTAGCTCAGCTGGTTAGAGTGTCCTCCGGATCCTGTTGCGGATTCCATCCTGGTCAGGGCACGAGCAAGAATCAACCAATGAATGCATAAACAACAAATTGATGTTTCTCTCTCTCCTCCTTTCTCTTCCTCTCTCTAAAATCAATCAATAAATTTTTTTCAAAAAAGTCATGCTTAATATTCTTTATGATAAACCAGGTTGTTGTTGTTGTTTTTTTCTTAAAGCAACAGTAGTGATGCAAAATGTGTACTGTGGAGGTTGTTTCTCTTCTGTGACTGTCAGAAAAGGCTCTTGCGATGATGGGGTCTGTAGTGGCCCGCCATTCATTCACAGGATGTGTACCAGAGGCAATAAAATTAGTGAATTAACAAAAAGTGACTTGGATCCATGTGGAGAAAACAATCAGGCCCTGTGGCAGGTGGGAGGTGGGAATGGCCAGTGGACTTTCTGATCCAACATGATCTGGCTGCAGGAAGGTGGCAGCCAAGTGGGTCCTGAAAATCATGACTAATGAACCCAAGTTAATAGCATGGCAGTGCAAGGAGAAAGGAAACAGAGCTGCCTTTGAAATCCTCTGTTTGCGGAACAAATTTATACTTATTATAAATATTTTGGTTTAACCACTTTAATCCTGAACGGAAAAGCCAAAGTTACCAGTGGAATATTCCCCAGTTGCTGGCATCAGAAAACTAAACATTTCTACAATCATATGTCTTTGTCCTGAGGAGGAGAAGAGGCTCGTTAATGATCTCTGATTATCAGAGGGTAGTAGAGAAGATGTTTAACAGTGGAAAGGGGGAGTGAGCATCCCATTTTCTGGAAGGTAAACCCTTCTAGAGCTGTAGGGATGACTAGTTTCCAAGGATGTAGAGACAGTTCCTGCAGTTGTGTAGGAGGTCAGGTTAGATGACTTCCGAAGGACCTCATACCTTAAGATTTTATAAATGTAAGTATTAAGTGATAAAATCATTTCAAATATGCTAGATTTTCTAGTAGCAAAATTCAGGAAAAATAAGCCACACAACACTGTTAAACATGGTTGTTTCTTGTACCCCAACTATGCAGCAATGCTTCACTGTGGGATTTGCCAACTAACTGTCATCATTGCGCTGTGTTAAAAGGCCCTTTCCACTCTTGCAGAGGAGGTTATCTATATTTCTGTTCAAATGGAAGTATAAAGACATTTTTTAAATACAGCAGATAACATTGTAGGACTCAACAGGAAAAGCCAAGGTCAGGTGATGGAAAAAATGCAGAAGTGAGAAAACCAGTTTCCTTTGAATAAAGGAGTAATAGTTATTGGAGTTTTGCTTTTTTTACTTGTGTTTTTTCTTATCTTTTTTTTTTTTTAGACAGTATATTAAAGGTTAGGGAAAACTAGAGATTGAACACAGGCAAGTGACAAGATGGAGGTCACCATCTATTCTTCCTGGGATTCCAGAGGTAGGACGACCTGGAAGGTAGATAAAGGATGACTTCTTACTGGAATTCAAGCCAGACTTAGAACTGGAGAGAATCTTAAAACTTAAGATGGAGGTATCAGCTCAAAAAGTTCAATTTACAGGTAGTCCTTTGCCATAGAATTAATAAGTCAAAGACGCAAAGGAGAAAACAGGGATAGTGAGTTGAAGCCTAGTAACTAGGGGCAAATGAACCTGTAAGGGCCTGGCAACTTCTGGAAACCAGAGTGTGAACTAGGAGCTCAGTTACAAAATAGCTGCTTGTTCCAGAAGTCAAGGCAATGAAACTGATGCTCAAACCCAGAAGGATTTCCTCATCTTTAGAGACTAGACTAAGGATACAGAAGAGAAGTTGGGTGTTTCCCAACATGATAACAACTGGGGATCAAAGGAGAAAGTGGACTGAGGGGGATTCCATTGACCCTGAAGGCATGTACAAATGTAAGAGTTAGTCACACATGGAACATGGTTGAATGCCTCCTCCTCTGGGAAGGGTCTTGAGCTTTCCTCCTTATCTATTCTATAGCATTTTGTAAGGACCTCTGCTTGTAGCATTTATGTTATATTATAAATCTTTCTGTAAATAGCTCTGAACCCCATTAGATTGACAGCTCATTGAGGGGGCATAATTTATAAGACTACAACGCATGTGTGAGTGAGTTGAAAAAGGGAGAGAGGGAAGAATTACAGACCAAATATATTTGAACATTCTTGTCTGTGGCCCTTGTCTCTTGGTTTTAGTAAATGCCTCTAAGATAAGCACTAGAAAGAATGGTTGGGGCAAGAGGGAGTCTTCCAAACTGGAAACAGCAACAACAAAACAACCACAAAAAGAGAAAACAACAGCAAAAAAGAAAACAAAAGAATCCTACAGGTGGGAAAGGAAAGGGAACCAGATTGTACTTCTGATGGAAGTCTGGAGAAGAGACAGTCTGCCCTCTATTGGCGGTTGAGGGGTTTGGATGGGAGGGGTTTGCTACGTTGAAAATGTCTGAAAATCAGAGTGCCCAGTTGGGGGCATAGCAGAAGGTGGATAAACAGAACGCTAGTATTAGAGCCCTCCTCCCTGATACAGTGCCTAGTTCAGCCTCTCCAGTCACACTCTAGGATGTGCAGGCAGTTTATGTTTTATTTTCCTGAAACAAAAAGAAAAAATGTAGTTGTCTTATACACACACACACTTAGACTTGTGTTGCACAAGAGTAAAAATTCTCGTTTTATGTTAGTGCATACCTAGTAGAAAGATCTATGAAAAAGGCAGAGCAACAGGTTGGGCTCCTTTCACACCCCCCTCCGCCACCACCCCATCTCTGGTTCACCTCAGCTGGAGTCACCTCTAGGTGAGCGGGTTCTCACTTCATCTTGGCTTGGGCCATTTCAGTGCTGTAGGGGGACACCTACTTTGGGAACCCAGCCATCTGATCTTGAGAACTGGAGCTGGTACTTGGGCTGTGTTATCACCACTTAGTACCTCTCTTTACTAAGGGAGTCCTGGCCTGTGCAGGCAGCTGCCCCGGACCTACTGGAAGAGGCATGTCACAGAACACACGTTCTCTTTCAAGTTCCGAGTAGGATTCCTCTCCCCCTTCTCTCACCAGTCTGAACAAGTTATTTGTCCTTTCTGAATCTGTTTCCTCCTTTGTCAAATGGAGACAACAATACCAACCACACAGGGTACTGTGAGAATCAAATGGTTGTTGTCCTTCTCTACTGTTATTTTTAGAGTCCTTTTAATTGAGTGTCTCCTCAAGTGTTACACCAAAGCTGGAATCCTTGCTATGTGATATCTCAGCACCTATTACCACGCAACATCTGCCTGACCATATATTTGATTTTTTTTTTCTTTTTGGCAATCTTTCTGTTGGTCCTATTTTGCAGTCTGTCCAGTCTTGGAATTGTAGCCTTTGTGATATTTTTTTGACACCTAATAAGACTTATTTTAAAGGGTCATAATTAAAAATGATAATAGTAGTAGTAGCTCAGCTTTATAGAGTTCTTGCTAATAAGCACTTCATATAGGTT